TCTGCTCCATTCCAGTCCATTTCTATTAGGGACTGAATAGGAGTTGCATCTGATTTTCTTTCAACTCATTTCCAGGCCATTTCAATTAAATATTCTGAAATGTATGTGGTTTTGCTTTTTTAATGATTGCAACGAAACTAGGGGTTAAATTTTACGTGTTATATATTCTATTTCATGAGCAGTAGATGAATCTGATTGGCTATCAAAATGTTGTGGTTTCCACCGCACTCTTTTAAACCACATTCATTAGTAGTTGAATTTTATGTTATCATACTATTTTATGTTTGTAAACTTCTGCTTGAGTCTTCTACCTTGAAGATTGATTGGATAGCTCGGAGTTCTGGGATGCCAAAACCGGGCAACATTCCTCATGATATGCTTCTACATTTTAAAGTCAATTTTGTCATTTTCTTTCCTTTTAATTTCAACATGTTATTTTTTTTGGGTCTCAGGAGTGATGTATATGTAAAATGTACAGTGTGAGATAAAATGCAGAGAATTAGTTATTTTATTATTAGTATTTTTTAGCAGCTTGAACTTCTATGAATTCACGAATCTTCACTTTTATCTTCCCTACATGATTGCATTAAAAATGTTGGTAAATAACAATTTTTGGGGGGGTCTGTATGTATCGAATGAGTCTAAAGGGGGTTAATTGATTCTAAAATATCTAACATGTTTACATTACCATTTTGTTGAGAAAATTAAAAATTCTATGTAACAGATTGTTCATTTAACTTTAAAAATGTGCAAATAAGTTGTTTACAAAATGCACAAACTAAACAACTAAACATCTTATCCAGAACATGGGCAGAATGATCATTTATCCAGAATCAACTGTTTTCCAAACGCACAAACCAAACAGCCATCCGGCTTATCCAAATCAGCTGCTCATCAGCAGATTATCAGCATAAGCTGGACAAGCTGCAGCTGCCCCAAACAGACCCTAAATGTGATCAAAATGAAGATTTAATCAGGTGAAGACAAGGTTAAGTCACTTTTCTAAATATGGGAAGAGATCTCCCAAATCACCATGGCACCACTAGGGTGCTAGGTGGATTTGGGCTAGTTCTTAGTGTCCAAATTGTGGTTGTGGTAACCAAGGTTGGCTAGACCGAGTGGCTCAAGTTGAGTTTAGGGTTTGGGTACAAAATTTGGGATTTGGCTTGAACATGGGTTTAAAGTTGGGTAGAGTTTGGATTTAAGTCAATGGATGTTTCAATTTGGAATAGAAGATTGTCATGAGGCATTTGGGTATCAATTTGGTGGAAATTGAAAGGCTATGGAGTTCAATTTGGTGAGATTTGGATTTTTTGGGCAAAATTGGGAATTTTGTTTTGGATTAGATTTAAGTTAGTTTTGAGTTTGGTTCTAGGCCAATTGAGGGCTCAAATTGCTCTAAATGGAAGCCATGAAAAATTAAGATCCAAAATTGGAGAAATTGGATAGGTTAGAGAATTCAATTTGATGGAATTTTGGCCTTGGGTCAATTTGGGGCATTTAATTTGAACTTGGCATTTGAACTTGAAATTGAGTTCAATTGGACTAAATTTTGGATTCAATTGGGTTGGGGAATGATGAAATTTGATTTAAATTTGAAATTGGGGAAGTTTGATATCAATTTGGTGGAAATTGGGATGAATTTGAGGAATTTGGGCCTTTAGGAGTAAAATTGGATAGGTCAATTTGGTCAAATTGGGCCCAATGGGTGGTTAGGATTGATTTAGAAAGGGTTTGGAATGATTTGGGAGGTTTTAAGAATTTTTTTGAAATGAAGGGTATTTTGGTCATTTTTGCAATTTTAGGGGTATAATGGGAATATTGAAAATTTTGGGGTGTTTTGGGCAATTTGAGTGGTTTGAAATGGTTCGAGATGATTTTTTATGAGAAATTGATAATTTTGCAAAAATTAGGTTTCGAACGCATTTTACTAATTATAGAAAAGTTTGGGGCTAGAAGGCCAAAATTGGAAATTTTTTGTAAAATTAGGGTTTAATGAGAAGGATAATCACAAAATTACCCTTATGGTGCCATGAGACCAAAGAAATCCCTATTTTATACCCTTCATGTGTTTATCCTAGCCATCCTAGCAAAAGGCTAAGGGTTTGGGGGGCCACCCACATGAGTTTCCAAAAGAGTAGGGAATCAGGCTAAACATGTTTGCTTTCATGATTTAGGTTGAAGGTAAGGGGTTCAAGAGTGTGTGTGCAAGACTGACCAAAGCTACACCACCAAGGGCTAACCCTAAGGCCAAACAGTTTTATCGGGACTCTTCTTGAGCTTCCCCCATGTTTGGTTCCATCCTACTAAGTGATAGAGGTTAAAACTAAGCAAGTGGAACTCCAAGAAAAGTAAAGAAGTGCTTAGAATTTCTAATGGAGTAGGGTTCCATTACTAGTTCTCTAAGATAGTCAACAAGAAAGTCATTTGGCTAGATCCTAAGCTTTTAAGAAAGAAAGACTAGACCTCAACAAAAGTGAGGACAATAAAGTCCAATGAATCATCAATGTGAGTGCACAACTATGTGACAAGGGTCCGCTACCCACTCAATTGGAAGTCATAAGGGAGCCTCTTCATTGTGTGGGGGTGCTCAAGGTAACCAGTGCTGGTGTGCAACAATCGCAGTACACCCACACTGGTTACTTTTATGGTGAGGGGGTCGTATCGGCTCGGGAAACCCGGGAAAAGCTTGGCATGGGTGTGCCCCTGGATCTCTAAGAGGCACAAGTGTACCTCACAATAGTGCAAATGCACCATTAGGATCTTAGACGGCCTGGCTACGCGACATTCAAATGCGAACGTGCCTAAGGACCAAAATTTGGTTGTCTACCAAAAAGACGACACTAGCCCCACCTGGAAGAGAATGATGAAATGGATTTTAGCCAAAATAGCCTCCAGGGCGAGGAATTTCGGGTAAAAATATGCGTCTCACCTCAAAAAAGAAAAATTAATATCTCTTTAATGACAATGCTGATGAGCTTGAAATTTCTCAAGTTTGATGTTTTCTGCTCAATTTAATTATAATTTTATTTTTGGAGTTGATTTGAGTTTGATTTAAGGGCCAAATTTATAATTATCATCAAATTTTAGGATTTGATTGAAGCAAATTACATTTGATTTTCATTTTGCATGTCTTATTTCATTTTTGTCTTAGAATTTTAGGGTGAATGAGGAGTTGACCAAAAGTGATGTCAATAGTAGTATTCAAAATAGGAAAATAGTTCGTCCATCTGTCGGTCAACCTGATGGTTTAAAGGGTTCCAAGCAGTTCAAATGCATCAATAGTTACTTACAAGATTCAAACTTGAGCATCCTCTGGTTCATTGTCAAACTGACTTGCCAGATCCAATTTTCAAAAATTTACATTTTAGAGCACTTCACAATCAAGTCACAATTAATAGACCTCTCCCAATGAATGCTCTAAACAACCATTAATGACACAATATGTTAGGCAATCTTCATTTTGCCCTAAAACTTTTGGCTTCAACTAACCTTTAGTCTGGACATTTTGATTTTCTTCATCTAGGGTTTTCTCTTACAATCCAACATATCTTCTGCTACTGGCACCCTTGACACTTTTATTCTCATAGCATGGACATTTATAATGAAGACAAGCTCTTTTTTATAATGCATGCTAGCCTTCTTATTTGTCTCCTTCTAAGCCTTTAACAAACCTTTGAAGTCATCTTTCATACCCTTTATGGGCGTCGCTAGTTTATCCTTTTTATCACATTGATGTCTCAATATGCTTTAGCTCTATCACCCACATGCACGCTAAATATATTATAGTTGTCCAAAGTCTTGTAGTCAACATTTCTTTTTCCTTTTCTCTTTAAACCAAACAAACAAATGTACATGCCACTAGAAGCAATAAACTTATTAGCTCTTCTCTTGACATCTTTAATTGAACATTTTAATTGTGCCACCATAAATATTTTGTAGTCGACTGTCAATATATTGAAGATAATATATTTTTTTTCTTATTTCCTCTCTCTTATCGTGTGATCATTGCAATACATTGATTTTTTTGTCCTTGAGTCGTCCAGTGTTAGACTTTGCTTTGCTTAGAATGAATTGTGCATAAAAAGTCCATATATTAGATACAAATTTTCATCACATTCCATTGCTTTTTTATATCTATTTACCTTCCGCTTGTATTCTCTTGACTTATTTGATTTAATTTGTTGACTTTAGCTTGGCCTACACCAACTAATCCCATTTGATTGAATAATATCATATTGGGGTCCTAATCAAATTGATATAATTTAATTGAATACGACTAATCATAGACATTGAAGAAGATTATAGAGAACACATGATAACATGCATTGGAATCTTTCATGACTTTTGCCCATAGTATGAAAACAGTTGATTGGAGCCCATCATCAGCACAGCTGTTCTTACTTGGTAATTATTTGAGGATAGCAAATAAAATTACATTATATTGTTCAAATAAAAAGACTTGATGCATTATTCATTAAGGGATTAAAATGAAGAATCTAGAGTTCAAATGCTTCTCCTGCCTGAAAATAAAAGAAGTAATAAAAAAACTCTCCCACTCCTACCTAAATTCTTGCACATGATCGGTATTTCTAGCATCCGGGAAGAGATGAAGAGGAAATTTATATAAAATTGATATGTCAGCCACAATTAAACTAGTGGTGAGTAGGTCTACCTATCTAGCCCAATTGGTTTTCTATTCTAGTCTGGCAAGAAAATCTCCACATTCCAACTCATTTTAAAAAATAATAAATGGCCATTTTGCATACATACCAACAGATTCTTACATATTTTTACATATCTAATAGTAAAATTTTATTTTTTATATTTATATCACCCAAATTTTATATATCACATAAAAAAATATTTTTATTTTAATATCTAAACTATGAAATATATATGTTTATAAATTATATATATATATATATATATATATAAAAGATTTATCTTTATTTTTATCCAAAATGTCCTTCTAGCAAGATTTGGGGAGAGCCCCTAAAGATCATTAAATGCACTCTTGATGGTGCGAAGCACGTCTCTTAAAGAATATGAACATGTAATAATAATGGCATTGTAGTCGGATTTGGAACTTGGAAAAAAGCACTGAGGACGGCTCGTCCTCTTCCTCGGTTCTGTTTCTTATCTTCAAGGCTTTTCCTGCTAAGAGGCTTTCTGAACCCAGGTAATAGATCTGATTAGTAAAAGCTTCCATTCTGAATCCCATAGTTTACTCCTCAGATAACTTAGAACTTTAATGTGAGTTGTGTTTCTTTCAATTTTCGTGCCTTTAGGGAACCCAGGATTCATTGTATTGAGTCAGAAAGAACAGTTTGATTTATGGATGAAAATGAGAGAAAACATTGGGGTTTAGTTATCTGGGAAGAAGATTTTTCTGCGTCATTTTTTGAGTTATTTTTCTCTCGCTTTCCAGTGGTCTGGTGAAGGGAACTAAGGGAAGGCTTTTGGCTTTGGTTGTAGGGTTAGGGCAAAACAAAGATAAGGTACAGCGGCTATGGAGACTCTGTCTCCATCTTCTTCTTCTGTTTCAGCTCGCCGTGAGGCGTCTACCTTTGATGAATTCTCTATGCAGCAAAGCTTGCTCTTCACGGATAGCCTCAAGGTCCCTGACCCCACCTGTATTCATTAATGACATATAATGAGATAAGCAATGAAGAAGCTTCTTCATTGATATTCCACCTAACTCAATCTGCTTTTGTTCTTAGATTGTTGAAACTTTTATTTGATTTTTTGTTTTTTATTGTATTGTATTGATTTAAGTGTAGAGAATGAAGTGAAAGTTCTAACAAGATTATGAGTCCAGAAACATTGATTTGATCTTCTTAAATCCTATTTTTCTTTTCTGTCAACTTAAATTCAGTATGCCCCGGCATCCAAATCTAACCTTGGGGGTGCTAGAGGGTACAAATTAACCAAATTATCATCTGTTTAATTCGCTAGATAAAATAAATTTTATGGATGATTGAAATTGAATAGATGCATGCCATAACATTGTTGACTTAATTGTAACTTAGAACAAAAATATTTATATGATTCTATGTTTTAGTCCTTTAGGAGAATATCATAGTAATTTTTTCATCAAGACTTGAATTTAATTCCTTTTTTTTTAGTACCTAGTCTCCCCACAACCTCCTCCTCCCTCTACCAATTTGTTTTGATTTATTTGACTTTATTTATGTTGTATTTTGTTTTCAACAACTTAAATTTAATTTTATGATTCTCTTTATTAAGAAGATGCATAATTTGATTATTATTCAAGTTTTATGGTGAAAGTTAGTTTTTATTCCAAAGTAATATGCATAACTATTCCTATGTTTAGGAACTGATTATTTGATTATTGGTACTACTTCTACTGCTTGATATCCAGGATTTGAAGAACTTGCGGTCACAACTGTACTCTGCAGCAGAATATTTTGAATTTTCTTACAGTAACGATGAGCAAAAACAGATGTATGGTAATCCTGTAACACTTTCATAGCATCAAAATAAGGGAGCTTTTGCAGTATTTCTCTCTTGTTCCTAACTTGGTACATTTTATGCATTATATGTAGAGTAATGAATACATTGAAAGACTATGCTGTTAAAGCTCTTGTTAATACTGTGGATCACTTGGGCTCAGTCTCTTATAAGGTCAATGGCCTCTTCGATGAAAAGGTCGATGAGGTTTCCGGAGCTGAACTTCGCTTATCTTGCATCGAACAGGTATTTCTTCTGATAAATTATTATCTCCATTATACCAATTTTAGTGCTTCTTGTAATTTACTACCATGATGCTTAAGTTTTAAACGATTGGGAAGTTTGCATACATACCACACAATTTTTATGTGTTTGCATATCTTTCACCCAATTTTTGATATTTACATTTGTTACACTTTGGTGCCATAAACCTATGCATGATAATGTGTATTTCACCTTTTAAAAATGTAGTGATGGTGGTATTTTTGATGTAATGTTAAAAATTTGAGTGATACACAATATTTAGATGTTAAATATGTAAATATATAAGAATTATGTGGTATGTATGTAAGTGCCCTACATAATTTAAATGTTACGAAGTCGAAACCAGTTGTTGGAACTAAAATTTTCATCACAATTTTAAATAACTCATTGTACATTATGTAGTATATTCACCTTTTCATTGGTTGAATTATGAGTTTTTCGTGTGACAATTCCAGAGAATTCGAACATGCCAAGAGCACATTGATCTTGAAGGGCGAGCTCAACAGTCTCTAGTAATTGCTGCTCCACGATTCCATAAACGGTATATAATACCAGGCAAGTTTAAGTTCTTAAAATAATTCGCTGATTGTCCATAAGTTTTTTTCCAGGTCTTATAATTTGTTTATTTTAATTTTCTCAGAAGGTGAACCACTGCCTGAATCAGGCTGGAAAGCTACAGCTGTGAATCAAGAGCGCAAGGGGGATCTGGAATCTCAAGAGTTCTGCGCTGGTGATGTCACTAAACTCGGTCATATGTATCTTGAATGAATAATAATGAAGAGGCAAACCACAAACATAAATTAAGAGATAAAAGAATTACTTGGAAAGTTATGGACGGTAAAACCCACTTGCAGAGGAGATCATTATATGGAAAAATAAAGTTGCAAGCGGAGAGTAGCAGCTAGGGGTTTGTATTATTTGGTCAAAATTGAAAATTTGAACCAAACCGTCAGTTCGGTTTCAAAATTACAATTTGGATTTTGGATTTTAAAACCTAAATATTCAGATTTCGTTTATTGGTTCAGTTTTAATTTTTATTTAACCAATCAAAAGGAAAGACCAAAAATATGAAATTTAATAGAGGATTCATGAAATTAAATCAATATTATACATGTTAGATTTATAATTCTTGATGTTTCTCATAATCAAACTCCAATTAACAACAAAATTTTGATTTGTTCACAGTGAACCCCTTTAAACTAAATTAAATTTTTGTTCGTCTGTTTGATTCTATCAAAATTTAGATTGGTTTGGTTTTTTCGGATTTCAGATTTTGGTTGCAGTTTGTTTGATCAATTTGAAACTGAAAGTGACCCATCCAAACTGAGTGAATGGGGCCCCCCCCCCCACCCGCCCCCCACTCCATTCATTATGATATATATGTTTTCTTTTTTGCAGGCATTTACTCCACTTTGAGAGACAGACCTCCTTCATTCAGGTAATGAAATGAAGTATCACTTTATTTCCTTATTTTTACTAGAAAATTCTTAGTGTATGATATGATCGTAAATTGTAAGCAGAAATTTACGTTTCTCATCGCCTTCTCCCACCACACGTGCGCGCTCTGAATCACCTCGGAAAGGGCGATCACCCTCACCTTCTCCGCGACCTGGAAAATTCTCAACCGGTACTTTTAAGTTTTTTTATCAGCTAATGCTGTACTGTAGATTGATTATTATTCTTTTGGAAACAGATAAAAGAGCAGTCTCACCCTTGCCAGCTACAAATCCATTTAGGCGCTCTGGTTCAATTTCAGTTAGGCCAACTATTCTAAACTCATCGAGTAGTGTGCGACGGGTATGAATTGATAACTGCCTATCATTTTCATTCGAAGTTTATTTTAAATTATGCGCCATAGATAAACTGTAATTGGCAAGAGTAAAGAAACTTTTTTTTTTATTTATTTTTTTTTGAGGAGCTGTTTGAGATTAAATTTGACTGATTTAGTTGTATTTTATTTATGGCATGTCTTAATGGAATGTATAATGTATTATTAGGTACAATAAATGCATGATGCTCAAGACGAACCAAATATAGGAAAATTAATTAAATCCACCTCTTCTATGACATCAGATAATATGCCTCTTTGGCTATAAGTAGGATTTAGTAAATGCTGGAACATCAGATTTAGTAAATTTTTCTAGATCCTTATAAATTATTTTACTATATTTATTTCAGGATTTATGATTTGTGACAGTAAAAATTCTTAAATCTGTTAAATCCTCGGAATTGTGGGATTTAAAAAACCTTAGATTTAACCTATAGTGGCATTGAAAAGCGCCCAAATTTCTGTTTGGTACTTTTTTGAGCAAAAACATGCTTAAATCCTTCCTTAAATAGAAAATCCTTCCTAAAATAGGATGCCTAACTGCTCTAAACCATTCTGAAATTTAGAAGGTTTATTATCTAGCCTCTTTTAAAATGGTTAGTTTTCAGTGACTTTTGAGCATTTTTTCCTGTACTGATTGGGGACTGAAATGTGGAGAATATTGCTTACTATTTGTCAATTTCTATATAAGATATATAATTTCTTCTTTTTTTTTTTTCTTTCTGATTCAGCTTCCTGTCGAGGCTCACAAGTCATTCTCAATGAAATTGCATGCTGAGAGAAATGAAAATAAGGAGAGTGAGCGACTTCCAAGCAAAAGCAAAAGCTTCCTAAAAACCCTTCTTACTAAGCGCAGATCAAAGAAAGACGAGATGCTGTACAGCTTTATAGATGAATATTGATGCAGTTTACATCTAATATTGCATTTATATTTGCCTTGCTTTGCTTTCACTTATTCAATTTATCTCTACAGAAAAGGTGGCATATAAAGGTTATATTACATTTCTTGTCCATATTAATTATTTATGAGCATGTAAGAAAACCAAATGAGACTGAAAGATTTTGTAAAACTAAAAGATCACGTCGCTGATTTTTTTTCAAATATATAACATGAACTATTTTGTTAATTTTTCATTTTATGTTAAATAAACATCCTTAAAACACGAATTAAACACAAAAAAATGTTATTTTGACAATTGTTCCCTTGGTGATTGCACCATTTCTAGCTGAATTACAAAACAGAGCAGAGACGCTAGAAGAATTTTATGCTGCAGTGATGCTAAAAGAAATTTTTTTTACTAGCATCATATTTCTAACTGAAGCTCGTTGTATTTCATTTTTCACTAATCAAATACAAAAAAGAAAAAAATAAAAATAAGAATATCCAGAATGTAGTTCCTTAGTCTTTGTTACTCCCAACCCACTTAATGCCACTTGGCTCTTCACTCCATATGTACATATGTACTTAATAGTAACATCTCTGTTGACATTTGGATGGTTGTCGCATGCCCCTTGTAACTCGTCAATAGATCCTATGTCATTTTGCTCATAAATGAACATCACATATCTGTGAAATATTAGTTGCTGACCTAATATCTCTTAGAAATTAAAGCGTTTATCGAAGACATTGCAGCGGTTGGTTATCATATAGATCAGAAAGGTGTTATATTATACATATTCAATGTCTTGAAATCCACATATCAAGTCTTTTATGCAGTAAACAAATTGGCTTCTCGTTTGAATGTGTTAAAGACAACATTATACTTGATCCTTAGCTTGACCTCATTGTGCCTCATAACCATGGCAACTCCAAACTCTAGTGTGGACATGGCCTTGGCTTCAACAATTCGACCTCATCTCAAAGGAGTTCTTCCAACCAAAATTCAACAATTATCCTATAAGCCTTTTAGGATAATAACTGCCCCAACCCCCGCCCCCGTTGCTTCCTAAGACAATTCTAGATTTTAGAGTCAAATGTTTCTTACATCAAACTTCAATTAACTTCAACTCGCCGCCCCCACATAATTGAATGAAGCAAGTGATTGTTAACAACGGGTAATAGATATTCATTCAACGCCAACGCCCAAATGAAAACTCATACTCCCTAAACTTTGACATGTCCTCCTATCATATAATCTCCTCTATATAGACAAACTTATTATTGATAACAATTTCGTTGTTTTCATTGTCTCCTGTTTCTTCGTTTAGACACAAAATTCTCCTCTGAGGCCATAACTCTAGTGGTCTCTGCCCTGTCCCCTCTAACGTTGCAGCTTATTCTCCCATCATGTCTTATCGGACTTAACCTAATGACTCTAGCACAAACATCTAGGGCATCATAATCTTGAAATTCTTTCCACCATTACCTAGCAAGATACTTCCCTTGATATTTCTTTCACTCAAATTTTCTATGATGGCTACGATAGAAACAATAGTCGCAAACAACCCTTTTTTTCATTTGTAAAATACCTATAAAAACATCATAACTCATCTACTCAATGTTTCAGGTATGTCCCTAGTTATATTTACACAGGGGTTGCAATTGGTTACATTAGATGAATCGATTTACAAATTAGTCAAATTGAATGAAATCTAAATCCGAAACCCAAAAGATAACTTACTAATTTTCTACTAAAAAATGATCTAATCGAAACTCTAATATCGATCAAATCATTGCAAAATTTTGTGCTGCATGATTTGGAGCAAATTAAAATTATTATGGTTTGATGATAGTGGGGAATGATTGAAAGCCGATTTAATGCCAAAAATTTTATGTTTTGGTTTGAGATGTCGGTGGGGAATACAATAGCATTGTTTAAAAACTATAATAACGATGGCATCTTATGCAAATATTTGACAAATAATAAAATAATGTTGATGAGTATAAGCATTACCAGCTTATTGAAATTACTCTCTTATACGATGTACATTTATTATACATCACTCTCTTAATGTTAGCCTATCTTATTCTATCAAAACCCCTAACACAACCTTTTCCTATCAAGTTCACTATAACAATTTTTTATCACTATCATCCCAAAGTCTTGGGGCGTCTTAATACCCATCATTTCAACCTCGCTCCTAACATAAGCTTGCTCCTTAATCTACATGTCATATTTTTCCTAAATATCCATTTACACATAAATGTTACAGTCATTTTAACCCTTGCATTACCAAGATTATAGTATTTTAAGATGACATTTACGAACATACATATCCTTATACTTCACCTCCCACTTTCCTGCCTATAATAACTTCACCATTTATTCAGTTACCTCATATACTAATGCCTGCCTCACACATAACTCCTCAATTCATTACCTCACCTACGTGAACTATTGCATCACCTAATTCATCTACACCACCACATACTTGCTTTGCCTCAACCATGCCATTTAATCCAATTATAACATTTTTTTATCCCACTCTCCAATCAACTCCATCAATTCTCTACTCTACTTCTCTTAAATCTATCACCACCTAAAAACCCCAACCTCACTTAATGATCAGTCATTCTAAAATTGAAACCATTAAAACAATTCAAAAATTAAACAAGTCTTATCAAATTAGATCCCTCTTAACCTTAACAATTACACTCAAACTATCTAGATTTTCATCTGCAACAAAATATGCAGATGAGTTCAATGCTCTCCAATTATAAGGATATGGGTGCTTGTCCACTCTCCTCACAACCAAACCATTCTCAACTCTAGGTTGTTATGTCACACCAAATTTCACCCTATTGACACTATTTCTTACCATAAATCATATTATGTGGCATAAAGTGCAAGTAGGAGCCCAACACTAGCTATAATGAAACTATTGGTACAATATTTTAAATGCCAACTATACCTATTTTCTTCACCCTATTTCTTCATATAATGAAAAATTTTCCAAGCCGATTTCTTCCATGCCTTCCTTCATGTTACACTGAATGAAACCATTTATATGCATTAACCTTTATGCTTTAAAGGCCAAGCATTTCTCTCAATTTTGTTTACTTAAGAAGGCTCTCTATGGTCTTAATGATACCCCACACTAATAGTTTTCTATTTTCTTTAGTTTTCTTACTAAATATTTTCAATTCATCGAAGTTGACTCCTTCCTAATCATTCCCCATCACACAAATGTCAGAATTTTTATGCTCATATACATGGATGCCATTCTCATTACTTTCAATGACAACACTACCAACTTAGCTCTCACCACCAGCCTAAGCACATCATTTCACATGAAACACATTGGTCAAGCGTCTCTTTTTCATGGTATTGAAGTCTTCTAAATGGTTGATAGATTTTTTCTAAGCTAAAAAGGTTTCTCAAACCATTATGCACACCTCTAGCTTGTATAAATTTGATTCAACTCTTCTGCTTCCAATAGGCCATCTAAAATGAACTTACCTATTATTTTTAGAATCTAACTCTCTACCGATAGTTCTCTAAATCTCTTCAATATCACACATTCATATGCTCAAACATCATCACCATTAACTTAATTTATCAATATATGATCATCATTAACCAACATTGCCCACACGTGTAGCCCTTTAAATTGTCATTTTCAACTTCTCAACTGCCCTCTTGAATATCTAGAAGGCAAAGTTCATTTGGCATTCTAGTCAATATTGATGATTCAATCTTTTGTACCAACTCAAAATCAAATGAGGCCAACGATCCTCACGATAAAAAAAATTTCTTAAACGATACGTTCATCTTCTAAAGTGTCACGGCTAGCTGAAGGGATTGGAATTTCCAAGGCAGGAAAAGATGGTTAGATTGTGAACAAAAGATTTTATACAAACACTACAATAACAAAAACAACAACAACAAAGTCTTTATCCCACTAAGTGGGGTCAGCTACATGAATCTTTTTTCTCCATTGTGTCCTATTTAGTGTCATATTTTCATTTAATTCTAATAAATTAAGATCATTTTTAATACAATAAGCCCAAGCCTTCCTAGGTCTACCTATCCCTTTCTTAACATGAGTCGAATCTAAAACATCTACTCTCCTAATCTAAAACATATAATAAATAATTTTTTTCTTACAAACACTAAACCCAAATAATAAAAAAAAGAACTTCTAGTGTCTGAAATAAATAAATAACAAATTTATCTTTCAGTTTACTGAAATCACCTCCTATACACAGTCTTTTATATATTACTCATATTCTACTTGAAAGCTTAATTCAGAATATGTTAGATCATAATACTAAATTATCTAAAATAACCAGTAAAGAACTCACACTTTTAAATTGTTGTAACTCAATGAGAAAAAGAAAATAGTATGTCGATATATTCCATTATAATAAAGGAAATTATATAATAGTCAAAATAATAAATTTATGACATTTGCTTATGGAAAGAGTCTACATTTTTTATAAGCTTTAAAATCTGTGTAAATTTTTGAAGAATTAATTATTTAGCTATATCTTCCTTCATACTCTTAAACTTATACATCCATATCACGAGTACCATCTAAATGTAACTAACACACCCATAGTAAATATATATACCACTTTAGCATAGTGGGGTGCAAATAGGTCTACTATTACGTAAGGCGGAAATGTACTTACTCACCCATAAGACATTTATTCCCATCAACACAACTATTGGTGATCTTAATTTCATGATTTTCTGAGATGATAATAAAACATCTACGCTTATGGGTGCATGGGCATTCCCAACTCATACCATAATGGTGTAAACTCTTCTAAGCATGCACATGCAAACATTTATATATAAATTATTTTCTCTCTTATTAGCATAAATTATTTTGTATAATTCTATATTTATCTATTAGTAAATAAAAGTCATTCTAAGATAATCTCAAAGTCAGGCAATAAACTAATATCAATCTTTGAAAAATAAACTACTGTGTTACTCTTCACAAAAAAATGTTTACATGCATAATTTATACCAAATAATATGAAGAATTAATTATAATATAGTTTCACTGATATAGAACATAAAAGTTAAAAGTTTAAATCAAGAATATATTAA